ATACAGAAAATGAAACTAGAACTCTGTCTGCCACCATACACAAAAACTTCAAGATAGATGAGACTTAAATTTAAGACCTAAAACCATAAAAATTACATAAGAAAACATAGGAAAAACTCTTCTGGACATGGCCCTGGGCAAAGAATTTATTACTAAACCCCAAATACAAATACATCAATAACAAAAATAAATGAGACTTAATTAAACTAAAAAATTTCTGCACAGCAAATCAAATAATCAACAGAGTAAACAGACAACCAACAGAATAGGAGAAAGTACTTGAAAAAAAAATATATATATATTTTGAGACAAAGTCTTGGTCAATTGCCCAGGCTAGAGCACTGTGGCATCAGCCTAGCTCACAGCAGCCTCAAACTCCTGTGCTCAAGCAATCCTACTACCTCAGCCTCCCAAGTAGCTGGGACTACAGGCATGCACCACCATGCCCAGCTCATATTTCTATATATTTTGAGTTGTCCAGCTAATTTCTTTCTATTTTTTTTTTTAGTGGAGATGGGGTCTCACTCTTGCTCAGGCTGGTCTCAAACTCCTGAGCTCAAGTGATCTGCCTGCCTCGGCCTCCCAGAGTGCTAGGATTATAGGCGTGAGCCACTGCACTGGGCAGAAAACTATATATCTTACAAAGGACAAATATTCAGAATCTGCAAGGAACCCAAACAAGTCAGTAAGAAAATAAACAAATAACTCTCTTAAAAAGTGGGTAAAAGACATACACAGACATTTTTGAAAGCTCGATACACAAATTGCCAACAAACATATGAAGAAATGCTCAACATCATTAAGCAAAACAGAAATGTAAATTAGGACCACAATGAAATATCTCACACTAATCAGAAAGGCAACTATTAAACAGACAGAAAATAAGAGATGTTGTGAGAATGTGAAGAAAAGGAACTCTTATATACTGTTGGTGGGAATGTAAATTACTAAAACATCTAGAGATAACATTATGGAGATTCCTCAAAGAACTAAAAGTAGACCTACCATTTGATCCAGCAATACAACTACTGGGTAGCTATCGCCAAGAAAAAGAATTCCATAATATCAAAAATACACCATCTGACACCCTGGAATGTTTACTCACCATACGCAGTTCAGAATTGCAGGCCTATATGGGAATAACCTAGAGTGGCCTATAATGAATGATGATCGATAAAAGACACATTGTGGTATGTGAGTAGTTGTGTAATGACATATTACGAGTCTACATGATATATGATAGTGCCTCCTCTCTCTCTCTCTCTCTTCTCTCTTCTCTCTCCTGCTCATAGGTAAGTACTATCAATATGGTTATGAGTATATACGTATATATGCCCAGTATAGCTTCTACTCAGCCATAACAAGGAATGAAATAATGTCTTTTGAAGCAACTTTGATGGAACAAGAGACCATCATCTTACGTGAAGTCTCTCTGGAATGGAAGAATGAATATTACATGTTTTCACTGACAAGTGGGAGCTAAATAGTGGGTATATAAGGTCATAAGGTGTTGTAATGGACATTGGAAACTAAGAAGGGGGAAGGATACAGGAAGACTGGACTAAAATTGTGGAGTACAATGTACATTTTTCTGTTGAATGGCACTCTAAAGCCCTGACTTCAGCATTGTAAAATTCATCCATATAACAAAAAACACTTTACCCTCTAAGTATATTGAAATTGTAAAAACAAATTAATGAATTTAAAGAAGAAGAAAAAAATTACATAATGAAAAATCTGCATAACAGGGTGAAAGCTCAGACTTTGGAGAACACACCAGCACCAGAACAATTTATCTTGTGATGGCAGGCTGGGTGATGCAGAGATAGACAAGGATATTCTCCTGTTACTCACCTAGGAATTGGTTACTCAGGGGATGTGAAATAAAGCAGGTTGAGGGGTGGGGAATCTTGAAGAAAAAGACACAGTTGTGTGGAAAAACATTTCCTGTGTTCGCTCTCTGAATGCTAGGGCTCCAAAGAAGAATCAGACAGAATGGCCTGGGCTCAGTGAACCTAAACAGGGACTTGTCTCAGAAGCCCAGGAATTAATAAAAGACACAAAAGGTCAAAGCAGCACAGACTTTGACAACTATGATCACTGAGAAAAGCCCTTGGGATTTAAGACTTACCGGAACATCAGGCAGCTTTAGAAGTTTCAGTAGAGAAGTGTGGGCAGAAGCCAACACCCACAGGGTCAAATAGAGAACGGAACCCCTTTCACTGAGTTCTTGCAAGGAATAAATGAAATACATTTCATTTTTTACTTTAACTAGAAAACTGAGTGCAGCCACATTTTCTTCAACAGTGGTAGCAGGGTTGAATGACACCACTGGGAGACTCAACCTCTCCTTCCTTCCACTAACCACACCTGCCAGGGAAGAGGTCATGGCAATGACCTGATCCTGTCAATGCACATTGAAAGTGTCTGCCTTTAATTTGTGCTGCTCCTCAACAAGTGGTACAAAGAACTGAGTTGCTCTGTTAAATAAATTGGGAAGAACTTTTAGTGTCCAACTACAACTTTAATAGCAATGGGGAAACGAGGAGTATTGGGAGAGAGCTGGGAGTAAACACAGAAGAGAGCCACAGGCCTGAGTAACATGGTCTCTTGCTGTGCATATGTGTACATGTGTGTTTGTGTCTGTGCATGTTTGTGTGTTTCTGGCAATGAAACTACTGTGAATAAAGACAGCACAGCAATTCTTGTTGTCAGGAAAGCCATAGAATATTTATGAATGTGAATGTCTCACAGTAAGTGTGACAGTCCTTGCTGTGCTAGGTGATGACACAAGCCTTCACCTTCACTCCATGACCCCAATGTCAGGAAAGCTCTGTTGCATGAGAAACATCATCCTGGAAGGGAAACCTTTCATGTTTGGGTCAGCAGGGGAGAGCAGAGAACTATACTAGTAGGTAAGTAATAAAGAAGGCTGAGAATTTGAATGCAATAAATAGAAAGAACAGTGGTAAAATTAAAGTAGTAGAGCTTGAAAATGTAGACAGAACGTCAGAAAGTAGGGAGTCTTTGCTGACTGTGCACCCTCAGGTGAGCTCTACATCTCATCGGATTTTTAGCCTTTGCTTGTGCAAGGTGGAAAGAAGAATCTGAGAAAGCACGGTCCTGCCCTCTGGGTCATCTCTGGGACTGTGATGATACCTGGGGTTCCTGAGAAGCAGAGAACAACCTGGTATCAGGGCTAGGAAGAGGGGTGGGGCCAATGTGGAAACTGTCAGATAGGAACCTCCTCAGACAGAATCTCCCAACAGGGAAATTTGTGTTTTATTCTCATCTGTATCCATTCCCTCTGCCTTCCCTCCTGTTACGCAGGAAGAGTCTAGCTGTCTACCCAAGGCCAATTCTGCCACCTGCATCTGAATGACCCCCTTCCTCCCCTGTCATGTTGTCCCTCTATCTTTATGCCTCCTGTATTGTGCATGTGCAGTGTTTCTCTCTACTAGTTCACTGCCAGCCAGGCACCTCCAAACCTACTCCACTGCAAAGAAAAACCCTCCCTTGAGCTCTCACTTCTAGTTGCATTCTGGCCCCTCAAATAATAAGAAAGTATTATTATAGTAGTAGTAATTAGTAATAGCAATTATTATTGCTATTATAGTAAATAGCACCTGTCCCCTGCCAACTTCACACCCTAATTTTTCCATATATGGTCCATATCTTGCAATTAGTTCCTAAGTTCCTTTTAGTCTATACGTCTTCCCTTTTTATTTCTTGCAGTTTTTTTGTTGATGACACCAAGTTGTTTATCTCCTATTCTGGATTTTGATGGTTATTTGCCCTTGGTGTTCTTTAACCTATTCTTTGATCTCCTGTATTTCCTATAAATTGTGAGTGATAGCAATTATCATTAACAACAATTTGGTGAGATTGTGAACGATATTTTTGTGGCAAAAATGATTTTATAGGTGATCCTAGATACTTCCATGAGGAAAAACATAATCTTTAGCAGTCTCTTTTTTTGTGAATTTAGCCACCACAGACAACCATTTCCTAGATATACTATTTTATTAGGTATTATGAACTGTTGGCATTTTATTTCCATCATTCTTACTTCATTTATTGGCTAGAATATTTCAAAGAAGTGAAATTTTACATAAAGATGTTTGGAATGGATATGGGCATGATTGTTGAATTAGAATTGGCTTAGGATTGCTTTAACACCTGATTTTTTGCTGAATCAGCAAGTATGGGGGTACAAGATGTACAAGAATTCATGCATAGAGGTCTAGAAGAGTAGAAGAGCTGTAGTTTCATGCTGATTCCTTTCCTTTTTGGGAAAGGAATTGCTGGATAGGCTGGGAAAGGCTTGCTGGATATTTCAGTGGTCAATATACTCAGCATAGTGATGATCTACCAGGGCGGAAAAGCCTGGAATGATAGGTTTGCTGCTATAGAAGTAGATTCATGGAACAGGGTGGGGTATGCTCTGTCAGGACTCAAGAACTCACCTCATTAATATGTACAGAATGTCTTGCAATGCCATGGTTATATACTTTCCATTTGTATGTGTTTATCACTACACCCAGCCGGTTTAGCTGTGGCAGTGTACACCTTGGTGAAGAATTTAGGTTTTACTTCATATACATATATGGAACTGTCCCCTTTCTCCTGTTCCCCTCCGACCTACCTGCCCCCACCCCCAACCTCCAGCAGCTACCTAGTCCCTGCTCCCCCTCCTGCAACACGGCCGGCTCACCGGTGCCCTCGGGCAGGCTCAGGACGCCCCCGCCCCGCAGCCAGCGGCAGCACAGGAACGCCGCCGCCTCCGCGCAGGCTCCCGGCCCTGCACCGTGATGCGGTCGCAGAACCACGCGTCGTCCACCAGCTAGTGGTGTTTGCGCAACTTCACGAACTGCAGGGTTCCCAAGTCCTCGGGAACCTCAAGATCAAACTCCTTTGGGGGCCGCTGTGGACAGAAAAGGGATCAGCTCCCAATACCCTTTCTGAAATGTTCAGTCTGCGCGACTTGGCAGCAAAACAGAGGGCAGGGGCAGTGGAGCGGCTCGGAAAAGGACCCCTGGTGGATCCGCCCAGTCCCGCCTCCAGTTGCTTCCCGCCCCGCACTTGGCGGCTCACCTTCCGCAAAGCCCAACTTGTCAGCACTGCGCAGAGAGGGGCAGCCCTTCCCCACCGCCACTCGGGACGGTCTCAGGTTCGGGCGTGTCTGGGTGGGGACGCAGGAGTTCCCGGGACCCTGCCATGGGCGGGCACGCGGGGCGCTGCTTTATAAAGCCCATGACCGGGCCTGCGGGCCACGCGACAGGAGCGGCCCCGAGGCGTTCCCCAGAGTCATTCACCGGCCAGCTGCTTACAGGAGCAGAGGCTGCCATGGGCCGCTACCGCATCCGCGTGGCCACCGGGGCCTGGCTCTTCTCCGGGTCGCACAACCGCGTGCAGCTGTGGCTGGTCGGGGCGCGCGGGGAGGCGGAGCTGGAGCTGCAGCTGCGGCCGGCGGGGGGCAAGGTGGGGGGCGGCAGGGGACCCTGGGCCGCACTGGTATTGGGAGGGCTAGGTACAGGAGACTGGGGGCGAGGTGACAGCTTGGATCGGGACTTCATGGAGTTGAGACGTGGGGGTGGGGGTGGGGTGGTGGTGAAGAGAGAGGGTCGGGATTTGGGGTCCCGGGCTGGATTCAACTCACTTCTTCCTTCCCCAACCCTTCTCCTCCCGACCCCCAAGTCCTTCTCCAAATGACCCAGAGGTAAGTACATGACCAGTGGTCACACGAGAAGCTCCTCCAAGCAGGGGCGCGGTGAGGGCGCAGTCAGCGGGACCCACACAGGTGTGATGCTCAGTCGTCCACTCAAGTCCCTGCGGCCACGCACTGGGTCCCCGTCCTCCCCTGACATCGGGCATCTGAGACCCACGGGGCAGGTTCTGCGGGGGAGGGAACCAGGCCCTGGTAAACTGAGGCTCCACAAAGGAGCGGCTCCGCCCTCAAAACCGCCTCTCCCAGGTCCCCACTACTAAGTCTGGCCGGTCCGCCCCCACAGGAGGAGGAGTTTGATCTTGAGGTTCCCGAGGACTTGGGGACCCTGCAGTTCGTGAAGTTGCGCAAACACCACTCGCTGGTGGACGACGCGTGGTTCTGCGACCGCATCACGGTGCAGGGGCCGGGAGCCTGCGCGGAGGCGGCGTTCCCGTGCTACCGCTGGGTGCAGGGCGGGGGCGTCCTGAGCCTGCCCGAGGGCACCGGTGAGCGGGCCGCGTGGGGGAGGGGGCGCAGGGACTAGGGAGCTGCGGGGGGTGGGAGGTGGAAGGGGGGTGGGGTGGGGTTGGGGGTCAGGGGGAGGAAGGTCGGAGGGGACAGGAGAAGGGTGAGCACGGGGCAGGTTACGTTTGCAGAACGCAGGGTGTGTGAAAGGGAACCGAAAGAAAGTGATGCAGTCCCCAAGTGATGCATAGAATTAAAAAAGTTCTGACGAAGACCGGAAACAAGGAAATAAGTGACTTAAGATCCTCTTTTTCAAAGATGGTGACGACAGGGAATCAGAGCAGCAATGGAAAACAAAAGCCACAGTGAAAGGAGGAAGATCTCCACGGGAGCCGGAGCAGTGAGGGCAGGGTCAGGGCAGGGGGTCACATGGAATAGGAGACGGTGGGTGACCGGTGAGCAGGAGATAGGTGAAGGAAACAATTAGCCGTAATATTTGGGAGCTCCTTTGGCTGGAAAAACACGGAAGACAACTGAGCGGGACAGGGAGCATTGATGGGGGAGGGATGAAGACAGCAAATGTAGAATTTGCCACTTTAGCTAATTGGTAGGAGAGACCTTGACGGCGAGGGCTGGTAAGAATGGACACAAAATATGTGCCTTTGAGGGGCAAGTGGATATAAGCACAGGTGAGAATAGGAACAGGTCAGGTTAACAAATATATATGATATGATAAGGTGTCAGGTTAAGATGGAGCCAGGTAAGGGTGGATGGAGCCAGGTAAGTGACAGGGGATTATTAGGACACGTGAGATAGCAGGTTGAGGGTGGCACACGTAGAATTTTTTTTTTATCTCGGGCAACAGATTTTTTTTTATCTCTTTTTTTTTTTTAATCTCAGAGGATGTAAGTGTACCTAACATGAAACATGCCATTTGGAGGACACGTGAAGGTGTGGACAGGAGGAGACTAGGATAGGTGCGAATAACAAAATAACACATGATAATGTAGGACAGGTGTGGACGTGGCAGGTGATTAAGAAGAAAACGCATAGGTAATGGAGAATAGGGACAGGTAGGGAAATTTGAATTAAGGGTTAGGAAAGGGTGGCAAACATGGAATTTTTGCCTCAGGCAAAATATGATGGCTGAGATTGGTGAAGTCAAAAAAAGGTGGGGGAGGGTGATGATTCAATAAGTGAGGAGGGAATCCATCAGGAGAGAGAGAGAAAAAGTAAAAAAAGTACAGTGCAATACAGCTCAGAAATGGGAGACTGGAACAAGCCAGGGAGTAGCATGATTGGATAAAGCTGTGTGGTCAATCTCTTAATGTCTCCCCAGCCCGCCTGGCAGGAGACAATGCCTTGGACGTGTTCCAGCAGCATCGAGAGAAGGAACTGAAGGACAGAAAGCAGATCTACCGGTGACAATCCACGCTTGGGCCTCCCAATTGTCCCACCCTTTCCCTGACCGTGTCCCCATCATTGACCTCAACATCCTCCCTGAAGGCTTGTCCCCAACTTCTAGCTGGGCCACCTGGAAGGAAGGGTTACCCCTGACCATAGCTGCAGACTGTAAGGATGACCTACCTCCAAATATGAGATTCCTTGAGGAGAAGAGGCGGGACTTTGAGCAGGCACTGAGGGCAGGGTGAGAAAATGGTGAGGGGACTGGGGGCCGGTGGACCCACAAACGGTGGGATTTGGTAAGTTGATACTTTCATCCTCCATCCCTGTCCTAGCGCTCTGGAGGTCACCCTCAAGCTTGTTTACACCTTCATGAGATCCTGGGACAACCCGGAGGATTTTGATCAGATCTTCTGGGGCCAGAAGAGCGCCATCGCTGGTCAGTGACAACCTCAGGTCTCCATAACCTCTTGATGGCCCCTTTGGACGACTCCTCTGTGGACCTCCATGGTCCCCATAACTCCTTGCCAAATGAGAACATATTGTGCCTTGTGATCTCACAGAGGCCTCAAGAATGAAAAGAAAGGGGCTGGATATATGGTAGCCATATGCCTGGATCCCTGGGTAGAGGCTAGAGGAGACGGGGACCCCAACCATGGTAAACATCCTTCTTTCACCCCCACCCCACAGAGAAGGTTCACCAGCGCTGGCAGGACGATGAGCTTTTTGGCTACCAGTTCCTCAATGGCGCCAACCCCATGCTGTTGAGACGTTCCACCTCTCTGCCCTCCAGGCTGGTGCTGCCCTCAGGGACAGAGGAGCTTCAGGCCCAGCTGGAGAAAGAACTCCAGGTACTTCCTCCAGTATTCTATTGTTCCCTCCTTGGTAGCCTGGCCAGGAGAAGTGGTCAAGTGCAGAGAGGAGTACATGGGAAGGGAGGCTCTCCTTGGCCCAGAGTCCTCTGCGGGGGGAAAAACCAGAGACCATGAAGTATGTAAAGGAAAAGTCCTAGGCTGGTGGCAGCCAAACAAGGGAGTAGGCTAGTAGGAGACGTTTAAGAAAGGGACCTGGCCATCTTGACAAGAAGGGAGCGTGGTGTACTTGTGATGCACAGGGATTGACAAACCTAGTCCTAAAACTACCTCTGCCACAAACAAGCTCTGTAACCTGAAGGAAGACTCCCCTCATTGGACCTTATTTCTCACATTAAAACGAGAGGACTTAGACCTGACACTCCCATGAGTCCTTCAGCTCTGCCACCCGGACTCTGCTACTGATGTGGGAAAATGACAAGAAAGTAGACTGAATGTCTTTACATTTCTTTGCTTTTGCCCTGGCCCTCTGGGGGTAGAATTCTACCCATGGGAACATTGCTCCTTTCCCCAGAACGGTTCCTTGTTTGAGGCTGACTTCATCCTGCTGGATGGAATCCCAGCCAACGTGATCCACGGAGAGCAGCAGTACCTGGCTGCCCCCCTCGTCATGCTGAAGATGGAGCCTGGTGGGAAGCTGCTACCCTTGCTCATCCAGGTGAGGCACCCTGGGCATCCCCAACACTGTGCTCTGTCCACATCACCTTCTGCTCAGAGACAGAGACCCCTGACTCTCGCCCTCGACCCCACCTCACTCAGTGAGACCCATCATTCTCTCCAGTCTCTCCGTGATTGCTTTCAGCCTTGTCATTCCTCACCTTGACATACCTGTTTGAGAGTCATAATGGCACTTTTGGCTTCATCCTGAGGCTACTCAACCTCCTTGTGGCCTTTGAATCTGTCGAATCACCCTCCTTTCTTAAATATCTTTTCTCCCCTGGCTTTATTAATTTTTCACTCTTACTGTTCACACACACAGTTAATTGATAGATCTGGTCAATTTCTCATTCTCACTTTCTCCTTTCCGTTCCACCATCCTGGCTCAGACCCCTGTTTTCTCCAAAACCAATGTCAGGGCCTCTGTACTAGACTGCCTGCTTCTAGCATATTCTGCATCCAAGCTCATGGCACTCGCTCCCAGGGCACCACGGCTAGTGAGAGGCAGGGTGCAGGGGTCCTCATTCCTTGTACTACCTTATTCCCTCCGGGAAGGCAATAATCTTACATCAGTCATCTGTTTCCCCCAGGATGCTAAACGTAGTGTTGTCCATGTGGTGAGAGGCCAATAAAGGCTTAATTTCTCTGTCTTCTAGCTCCAGCCTCCCAGCCCCAGCTCTCCCACCCCGACACTGTTCCTGCCCTCAGATCCCCCACTGGCTTGGCTCCTGGCAAAACTGTGGGTCCGAAGTTCAGATTTTCAGCTGCATGAACTCCAGTATCACTTGCTGAACACTCATCTGCTGGGGGAGGTCATTGCTGTCGCCACTATGCGGTGCCTCCCAGGGCTGCACCCTGTCTTCAAGGTACAGGCTCTACCCTCCAGTCCTATCTTGCTCATATCCCAGAGAGAGGAAAATCCCAACCAGTGGGCTAAGATTTTAAGAGCCCAGGACTTCAGGATGAGAACTGGAAACAAAGATGCTGGGCACCCGGCAGGCCTCCATATGGCACTGCTGCGAAGAACCCTTATGGCAATTTGTGAGTGGAGGAGGAGGAAGAGCAGATAACTGTGTCAAGACTTTGAGCCTTGTGGCTTTATTTCTAGTGTTTAAAATCTTTTTAATATAATTGCATATCCACATGCAGTTTTAAGAAGTAGTATAGAGAGATCCCATCTATCCTATGACACTCAGCATTCATTGAGCACATATTGTTAGGCAGCTCTCAGAAAGTCTCCAGCAACGAGTCTAGAGTATGGGAGGAGTACGATTTGTTAAGCAAAAGTATTGCTTTTGTTTTAGGAGTTTTACCATTTAACTGAGAAGGCAAATAGTACACATCAGAAACAACCAGAGAATGATATCTGCAGTCAGAGTTTGAAATTGAGAGAGAGAGAGAGAGCCCAATAAACAGTGTACAATTTTTGATAGAGAATTTTCTACCACCATTGAAGAGTCCTTAAGTAGATCACAGGGCAAAGAGAGTAGCCCAGCAAATCACTTAACCTGCTCGGGACAGAGGTGGGTACAGACTCTGCACTAGCATGGGGTTATAGGAATGGGAGGAAAGTGGAAAGACTGTCTAGGGGTGGAAATAGCTGCAGCGCACCTGCGTGCAAGACTGGAGAGAAATAGCAGAGGTTTAAGCTGCTGCAGCACCCCGGAGCCCGCGGGGTGGATGCTGTTGTACTAATCTAGGGATGCTATCATTTTATCAACAGTGAGTTCAGCATCCATTGCTAGGCAGAGGGAAGCAAAATAAGACTTGTGGTTGCTTTAAAAATGTTTTGAAAATCTGTATGGCATTTTAGATATGGCAGAAGGAGGTAAAAATGTTGCAAGCTTATGAACCAGAGAAGCTGTCAGATAGTAAAGTCAAGAGATAGTAAAGTCAATTTGGGGTCACAGACGACGTGTTCAGTTTTAGGTGCATGGAGTTTGGAATGTCAGCCAGATATACAGGTGAGCGCTGGGCAGGCAGAAGGCGGAAGTGTGGAGACCCGCTCTGCCCGCCTGTAGCGTCAGGTTCTGGTCTGACACAGACAAGATAGACAGCAACAGAGTTCATGGAATCTTGGGGTTTTGTTTTTGGTTTTCACCTTAGGGTGCCTTTGCACCACCATCTTCTGCTTAGACTAGACAGGGTGAGCCCACGCTCACACCTCAAAATCCCTCCTCACTAGTTCCGCCCCTCCGCACCCACCTCCCCGCACCATGACGGCGTGCTCCCCCGGCAAACGGCTCAGTTGTTATCAGGAGACACAGGAGGCTAAGGCTGCAATGTCACAAAGGCCACCTGGGCAGGCTCCAGATATAGGCTGCCAGGGTCTGAATCCTGGCCTCAGTACACACCAGCTACGCTTCAGCGTCCTCTTCTCCGACTGGAGCTGACAGGATCTCCATTGTGGGGGCGTTGAGCGATTACATGACGTGACTGAACAATGTGACACAGGCTAAGTGCTATAAAAAATACTAGTTCCTGCTGTTGTTATTGTTAATGTTATTAGAAGTTGTTTGTCCTCTGGTATTTTCTCTCTTCATGGGGACTTGGGTCTTCTAAGACACTCTGCATTTTTCCATGAACTTTCTAGAGTTTCAGACCAATGTGAGCTGCCTTGATAACTTTGATAACCAGGGATAGCATTTGGGCTGCTCCCTCTGTCCAGCACCTAATCATAAAAATACCAAGGTACACGAATGTTGCCTATCAACTGAGCTGGAATGAAGACAAGTAGTCTAAGACAGAGGAAATGCACGGGAGCATCACGTGGCCTTTTCTGAATAGCCAAGGGAAAGAGGGGGCCCAACGGTGCTCAGTTGGGGTGAGAGCAGATGTGACGACTGCTCCTCTGCTGATAAAGCAGGTACTTTTTTTTTTTTTCGAGACAGAGTTTGGCTTTGTTGCCCAGGCTAGAGTGAGTGCCGTGGCATGAGCCTAGCTCACAGCAACCTCAAACTCCTGGGCTCTAGTGATCCTCCTGCCTCAGCCTCCCGAGTAGCTGGGACTACAGGCATGCACCACCATGCCCGGCTAATTTTTTCTATATATATTAGTTGGCCAATTAATTTCTTTCTATTTATAGTAGAGATGCGGGTCTCACTCTTGCTCAGGCTGGTTTCGAACTCCTGACCTCGAGCAATCCGCCTGCCTCAGCCTCCCAGAGTGCTAGGATTACAGGCATGAGCCACCGTGCCCGGCCCTAAAGCAAGTATTTATGGCATCTCTAATTCTGCCTAAAGGTACTCCATCTACTCCCAACCTCAAAATTTTAAAAATGCAAGAGTAAAACAATTGGAGATCGGAGATGCAGCTTTGAAAATCAGTAGAGAGGCTAGTTTTAGCTGTAAATATGTGTATGATGGAGGAAGAGATTTAAAACAAATCTAGTCTAAGGGCTGAGTTAAAAGACATCTACAATCCTGGCGTGTGCCAGGCAATATTCTAAAAAGCCTCCATACATCACTAACGTAAGCATCACCACAGCACCTGGGATAAGGACCCAATTATTGCTCCCTGTTGACAGATGGGATTGGCACTTGGATTATTTATTGCCTTGGACAAGTGTCACAGCTGGTGACAAAGCCTGGTCTTAAATGGCTGACAGTCTGGCTCCAGAGCCCAGCTCTCGGGGAATTTGGAGAACATGAGGTGAGTGATCAGAGAAGCAGGGACCAGGCTGTCACGGCAGTGGCAGGGAGGAAAGCACAGAGAGAGAAGGCACCATGCCGCTGGGTGCCAGGACCTACAAGAAGGACCCAAGCACAGCCTCGACTCATCACGCATCTCCTCCACAGCTCCTGATCCCGCATGTCCGCTACACCATGGAGATCAACACCCGGGCCCGGACCCGACTCATCTCAGATGGAGGAGTACTTGATAAGGTGAGGGGGGATGGGCATGGAGCTGCCTTAGCCATCTCCCTATGACCTTCTGCCACGTTCAGGATCCCAGACCAACTGAAAGTCCTACTCTCAAACTCATGAACCTGTGCCTGTCGTAGCCATGTCTTTAAATCTGAAAACCCCACATCTGACTCCCTTCTGTAGTAAGCAATGGTCCACCAGCCCTGCTTCCATCCCTCAAGACCTGTCAACTCTCTTGTCTCAGGGACTGAGCATAGGTGGAGGGGGCCGTGCACAGCTGCTCCGTCAGGCAATGGCTCAGCTGACCTACCGCTCCCTCTGTCCTCCTGACGACCTGGCGGACCGGGGCCTGCTGGGCATCCCAAGTGCTCACTATGCCCACGATGCTCTGCGGCTCTGGGAGATCACTGCCCGGTGGGTGAGAGGGAGCTGAGAAACGAAGGGGTGTGGGGAGAAGGGCTCTGGCCTGAGGTCAGCATGGGGCAAAAGCACAGTGCAAATGAGGAAGTGCAGCCAGGAGGAGCCGACAGCTCAACCCTGGGGAGAGAGGAGGAAGGGTGAGGACAGAGTGGGCGGGCTCTGAGAGGGAAGAGACTGGGATGGGGCAGAGAACACAGGTGAGGAGAGCTGTGGCGGGGAGACTGGGGCTCTGGAAACTCAGGATGTCGCTAGGAAGCATGGCCAGCAACCCTGTGTAGGGAATTCCTAGAACTACTGACCCTCATCTCCTTCCATTAGACACTCGTGTGTTTAAAGCACAGAGGATGTCCCCAAAGGCAAGTGTTCTGAGGTTCCTCCCCAGACACCGTAGAAGCAGCGGGGCAGATGCCACAGAGAGAGGAGCAGAGGTAAGAGGCTGGAGCCTTCTACTCTCAGAGAGCTCAGCTCCCTTCTCCTCTGGGCAGGTACGTGGAGGGGATCATCCACCTCTTCTACCAAAAAGATGACGTCGTGAGGGGGGACCCTGAGCTGCAGGCCTGGTGTCGGGACATCACAGAGGTGGGGCTGTGCCAGGCCCAGGACCGAGGTAAGGTCCATCCCAGAGACAGGAGCTCCTGGGAGACTCTGCCAGGGCCCCTTCCCAGCCCTGCCCCTCTCGGGCCAGGACCCCAACCCTTCATCACACACCCCTCCCTCTGCATGGGAAAGCATCTGAACCCCATTCACACCTCCTGAGACTCAGGACAATTCTAGACACCCAAGGATTGTCCTTCTCAGAGACCCTGGTTATCAACCCCTATACGCCCCCCACCCCCAGTCATAGATGCCCCTAACCTGCCATGTCGTGGGGTCCAGCCAGGCAAGAACTACAGCCAGGGAGAGTTTCTGCCTAACACTTCCCGACCTCCATAGCTAAGGCTATAAATGGGAAGATTTTTGCCATCAAAGCCCATAATGACCCACCCAAGCTTCCCTCCCTCTCCTCTTGCCTGCTACTGTCCCCACACCTAGAAAGTCCCAGCCTGCTGCACACTCGCCACAGTGCAAGCTCATTTCTAGCTGCAAACTCAACACTGCGTGCTTGGGCTCCAACCATAACTCTGCCCTGAACCTTGAGGCTCACGTTTCTTTACTCCAACTGCCCCCATCACTAGGATCTATGGCTGCTTCCCCCACCCCACATACTAATTCCTGAAGAAGAAACAACCTTTCTTGAGCTCTTCCAAGGTCTCCATTCTTCTGCGTATCACACCTGGGCTGCCCTGGGCTGTTCCAAATCATCCTTTAGCCCACGACCCTTCGCATTTCAGAGCTGCTCCTTGAACCCCACTCTCTGCCTCTGGGGACAGCCACATGCATATGCTTGGAGCCATGATAGGCAGGTCCTGGGGACACACAGCTCAGGAGCCAGCGCCTGGCCCTGCAGTGGACCCACCTTGAGGACAGGGGTTGGGGGTGGGTGGGTGGGGTGGGAGGGTGCTGTGCCTTCCCCATCACCCCACAACTGCAACCACCCATGAGCCCTTCCACGACCTAAGTTCCTATCGCACTTTTCACTTCTTCCCGGCAGGCTCCACATGCCCCACAAGACCCTTCTTACACTCTCTCGCTTCTCCTTCTGAAATACCCACACTAGAGCATTACAGTACGTATTTACACACGAGCTCTGGCCTCTCAAGCCCCCATTACCCTCCCCTGGCCCTCTTGGTTCTCTTTGTCTTATTCCCTGGTCACCTCACTAAGGGCCAGGTGCTAAAAATCTTAGAAGTACTTGGTTCTGCCTCTTTCCAGACATATGACCTTGAGCAAGCCATTTAATCCCTTTGAATTTCATTATCTTTATCTCTAAAGTGGATATAATACTTGCCCCCAATGGAATAGTGACAGTGTGCAAACACGGATACAGCAGTTAGCGTACAATAAATGTGCCCCGAACACGCGAAGCTCCTCCCCAGCACGATGAGCAAGTAGAACAGGCGAGCCCAGCCCTGCTACGTGGCGCAGAGCCTAGGGCGAGTCCTTCACCTCGCCGAGCCCCAGCCTCACCTGCAAACTGAGTGGACCGGGCGGTTGATTTGCCTCCCTTCCAGCTTGGAAATGGGTCTGTGACTTCCCTATTTCTCTGTATTATAACCCAATACCTGAAACCACTGTCTGGGAATAGGAGGACATGCTTTTGTATTCTTAACCACTTTCTGGGAGGGTGGAAATTTTAGTTAATGAAACAAACCTAGAGAAAAGTTAATGTTGTAAGTCATAGGTGGACAAGTGATGGATTTCTAGTAAGGTTACGCACCTGTAAAATTAGTACTCACATCAGAAAACATTACCAGCTTCCCAGAAAGCTCCTTATATTTTTTCCCGTTTGCACTGATCCAAGGATAACCACTATCTTGTCTTCTAATAGTATCAGTTAGTTTTACCTGTTTTGAACATAAATATTTTCCATAAGTGGACATATAAACATGTACTCACTTGTGTCTGGTTTCATTCTCTGAACAGTATGAGATTGACCCATGTCGTTGCGTGTAGCACGTGAGCTCATCATTCTCACTGTTGTATTTCATTATGTGAATAGGGGACAACTTATTTTTCATTTCTGCTATTGATGTGCATTTAGATTTGCTTCCAGTTTGAAGCTATTAATGTTAGTACTGTTTTCCTTCTTTTTTTTTTTTTTTTGCGTGGGGCTCTTCCGGTGAGGACTGGAAAACCTGCTAGACAAATTCTAAAAGGGCTGGAACACTGTTAGTGCTGTTTTGAACATTGTTGCCTGTGCATTTCCGTTGGTTTATAGAAGTGAAATTGATGGATCCATAGAGTATGTTTGGTTTTAGTAATTACTGACAGTTCTAAAATGGTTGTGCCAATTTCCCCTTCTTCCACCAAAATATGAGTTATAGTTGCTCTATATCTTCTAAAATACATGAGAAAAGACACTTTAATCTTTTCTACTTTACCCATTTAGGTAGGTATGTAGTGCTATCATGTTGTGAGTTTAAGTTGCAGTTGCCCCGATGATTAGTTGACCTGAATACCTTTTATTTGGTGTAACAGGCATTTGGAGATTCTACTTTGTGAAATGCCTGTTAAGTTCTTTTACCCATTTTCCTTTTGGGTTGTCTACCCTTATTTTGTGACTTTTTTTTTTTTTTTTTTTTTGAGACAGAGTCTCACTTTATCGCCCAGGCTAGAGTGAGTGCCGTGGCGTCAGCCTAGCTCACAGCAACCTCAAACTCCTGGACTCAAGCAATCCTCCTGCCTCAGCCTCCCGAGTAGCTGGGACTACAGGCATGCGCCACCATGCCTGCTTTTTTTGTGATTTTTAATCACTCTTCAAAAACAGATATTTGACCACACAGTCAGACCTCCTCACCCTCTAAACCCCTACTATAGTTATCACATACAGAGGGGCTTTACACGATCATTTCATTTATAAGGTAACTATCACCCCCATTTTTAGAGGGAAACAGTGAGGCTCAGAGAGGCTAAGCAGTTGGCCCGAGGTGATGCGGCTGGTCAGCAGCAGAGCCAGGAGTGGCACCCAGGGCTGAGGCCACATCCTGTGCTCCTGACCACAGCACTCCCTGCTCACAAGTGACTGTCCAGCGACGCTTCCCCTGGCCCGGTAACTAAACGATCAGCCACCCCTCCCTGGCTATTCCTATCTGCTTTCCCTGCTTTATTCTCCCCTTATCACTAACACACTGGATGTGATTTTACCTGATTGTTCTATGTAATGTCTTTCTTCTCTACTAGAATCTGCATTATAAGAGGGCAGGGAATTTGTCTGTTTTGTGTACCAATGTATCCCCCCATGCCTAGAGAGTACCTGGTACATCGTAGATGTATATCTTTTGAATAAATGAATGAACACTCATTGATTCTAATGCATGGACATCCCAAGACATCAACACTTATTTCCTTATCTCCTTTGAGACTGTAATTTCTAAAATTTCTATTTTTTTCTCTAGGTTTCCCTGTCTCCTTCCAGTCTCGGGCTCAGCTCTGTCGTTTCCTCACCATGTGCATCTTCACGTGCACTGCCCAACACGCAGCCATCAACCTGGGCCAGGTTTGGGCAACTGCGAGCCTGGGGCCCTGGGGGCAGGTGTCTGGACTAGGGGATGCTTGAAGGAGACAGTCAGGAGCTAGTGTTCCAAAATCAGAATTCACGGTGAATTCAGATTCCTCTTCCCCCAGTTCGACTGGTATGCCTGGATCCCCAATGGCCCGTGCTCAATGCGGATGCCTCCACCCACCACCAAGGAAGATGTGACAATGGCCACAGTGATGGCGTCACTACCTGAAGTCTGGAACGCCTGTCTTGAAATGACCATCACATGGCTCCTGAGCCGGCGGCAGGTGGACATGGTGAGAGGGGACCTCTGAAATGAGAGAGGAGACATCAGAGGGAGGGGCTATATTCTGGGTCCCTGTGTATTGCATCTAGGAGCTCATTCATCCTTTTTGTGTGTCACAGGTACCCATAGGGCATCACAAAGAAGAATATTTCTCAGGCCCTGAACCCAAGGCTGTGCTGAGACAATTTCAAACAGATCTAGACAACCTGGAAAGAGAAATCGTGGCCCGAAATGAGCAGCTAGACCTTCCCTATGAATATCTGAAGCCCAGCTGCATAGAGAACAGTATCACTATCTGAGCCCGAACCTGATGGTCCTTCAGAGACCTTAGGCCACCATCACACTTTATACTTTCCTCCTGAGTTATTTGTTTTCTTGTGTTTCGATTGCTGTGGTTCTATTTTCCCCCTGAGTTTCTTAGCTGAGTATCTCACGAGCCTGAGGCACTGTCCTTACCTCCAGGTGCCCTATGAGAAGGATCTGTAAACTGCAACTACATTCCATGGAGAAATCAACTATCTATTCCTGTAGCTTCCTTCTGGCCTTGGAAATTTGCCTTCTTCATTTATTATATAATTTTGGGGACTGATTTTTTAATGTGGTATGATGTAGAGGTCCAATTCCATTTTTTTCCATCTGGATGATCAGTTATACCAGCAGTGCTTATTGAAAAACCCAGCCTTCCCCACTAATCTATGATGCTGACATGAATCAAGTTGCCATATACAAACGAGACTATTTGTAACTGTGTATTCTACTCCATTCATCAATTTATCGTTCCCTCTACCACACTGACATAATTACTACAGCTTTATACCTAACACTGCCTACTGTTTGATGAGACATGTTCAGCCACTTTGTTCTTTAGAGGTGCTTTGACTTTTCTTGGACATATAAATATTAGAATTAGTCAAGTTCTGGAAATAAAATTTGTTATGATTTTGATTGGAATAGCATTACACTTATATAAAACATTATTCTTAAGCCTAGTTTGCATTTTTGAGACATATCCAGGTGGGTCATTTTATGCATTGTAAATTCCATTCACTGTTTTAGTTTACATATTTTGCATCTGTGTTCATGAGTAAGAACAGACAATGGAGGGATGGGGCATTATCAGGAACTTTGTCAAAATGATTTATTAAAGTAATAGAAAAAATAAAATATATGATTTTATTACTAAAGACTATGGGTTCCATATCTGTGGATCCAACCCATCACAAATGGAAAATATTCGGGAATAAAATGGATGGTTGTGTCTGTAATGAACATGTACAAACTTTCTTCTTGTCATTATTCCCTAAACAACACAGTATAACAATTATAGGCCCACCTTGTTTTGTTGCACTTTGCTTTATTGCATTTCCAGATAGTGCTCTTTTTACAAATTGAAGGTTTGTAGCAACCCTGTGTTGAGCAAGTCTTTTGGTGCCATTTTGCCAACAGCATGTGCTCACTTCATGTCTCTGTGTCATATTTTGGTAATTCTCACAATATTTCAAACCTTTTCATTATTATTTTTATATCACTCATGCTTATCTGTGCTCATCGATCTTTGATGTTGCTATTGGAATAGTTTTGGGGGGATCACAAACTGTGCCTATATAAATGAAAAACTTAATTGATAAATGTCATGTGTGTTCTCACTGCTCCACTCACTGGCCATTCTCTCATCTCTCTCTCTCTCTCTCTCTCCTTGGGCCTCACTATTCCATGAGACACAATATTGAAATGAAATCAGTTTATAACCCTACAATGGCCTTTAAATGTTCAGGTAAAAGGAAGAGTTGCACATCTCTCACTTTAAATTAAAAGCTAAGAGTAATTAAGCTTAGTGAGGGAGGAATGGCAAAAGCTGTGACAGGCTGAAAGCTAGGCTTCATATGCCAAACAGTTATACAAGTTGTGAATGCAAAGGGAAAGTTTGTGAAGGAAATTGAAAGTGCTACCCTGCTGAACACACAAATGATAAGAAAGTGAAACAGCCTCATTGCTGATAAGGAGAACGTTTTTTACTGGTCTAGACAGACGATCAAACCATCCGCAACATTCCCTTAAGCCAAAGTCTAATCCAGAGCAAGGCCCGAATTCTCTTTAATTCTTTGAAGACTGAAAGAGGTAAGGAAGGTGCAGAAGAAAAGTTTGAAGCTAGCAGAGGTTGGTTTTAGGAAAGAAGCCACCTGAATAACACAAAAGTGCAAGGTGAAGCAGCAAGTGCTGATATAGAAGCTGCAGCAAGTTATCCAGAAGATCCTGCTATGATCACTGATGAAAACCGCAGATTTTTATTGTAGATGAAATTGCCTTCTATCTGAAGAAGATAGGACTATCATAGCCAGAGAGTTAATGCATGACTTCAAAGCTTCAAAGGCTAGGCCGATTCTTTTGTTAGAGGCTAATGCAGCTGGTGACTTTAAGTTGAAGCCAATGCTCAATTACAATTCTGAAAATCCTAGGACCCTTAAGAATTATGCTAAATCTACTCTGCCTGTCTTATATGAATGGAACAACAAAGCCTGGATGATGGCACATCTATTAATAGCATTGACTTACTGAATGTTTTAAACCCACTGCTAAGGGCTGCTGCTCAGAAAAAATGATACCTTTCAAAATATTACTGCTTATTGACAATACACCTGGTGACTCAAGAGTCTGATGGAGATGCACAAGGAGATTAATGTTGTTTTCGTGCCTGCTAACACAACATCCACTGTGCAGCCCATGAATCAAAGAATAATTTCAACTTTTAAGTATTATTATTTAAGAAATACATTTTGTAAGGGTATAGCTGCCTTAGATAGTGATTCCTCTGATGGATCTGGGCAAAGTAAATTGAAAACCTTCTAGAAAGGATTCACCATTCTAGATGCCATAGGAAACCTTCATAAGTCATTGGGAGGAGGTTGACATAGCGACATGAACAGGAGTTTGGAAGAAGTTGATTCCAACCCTCATGGATGACTTTGAGGGCTTCAAGACTTCAGTGGAGGAAGTAACTGCAGATGTGGTGAAAATAGCAAGAGAACTAGAATTAGAGGTGGAGCCTGAAGATGTGACTGAATTGCTGCAATCTCATGATGAAACGTTAACAGGTGAGGAGTTGCTTCTTATAGATGAGCAAAGAGAGTGGTTTTTTGAGATGAGATCTACTGGAGAAGATGCCGTGAACATTGTTGAAATGACAACAAGGATTTAGAATATTATATGAACTTAGCTGATGAAGCAGCATCAAGGTTTAAGAGGACTGACTCCAATTTTGAAAGTTGTTCTACTGTGGGTAAAATGCTATCAAACAGCATTGCATGCTACAGAAAAATCTTTCATGGGAGGAAGAGTCAATCGATGTGCAAACTTCACTGTTGTCATATTTTTAATTTTTTTTTTTTTTTTTTTTGAGACAGAGTCTTACTCTGTTGCCCAGGCTAGAGTGCCATGACATCAGCCCAGCTCACAGCAACCTCAAACTCCTGGGCTCAAGTCATCCTCCTGCCTCAGCCTCCTGAGTAGCTGGGACTATAGGCATGCTCCACCATGCCCAGCTAATTTTTTTTTCTATATATATTCTTAGTTGGCCAATTAATTTTTTTTCTATTTTAGTAAAGACAGGGTCTCGCTCTTGCTCAGGCTGGTTTCGAACTCCTGACCTTGAGTGATCTGGCCGCCTTGGCCTCCCAGAGTGCTAGGATTACAGGTGTGAGCCACCGTGCCTGGCCTACAGTACTATTTTACTTTATAAATATTTTATTTTTTAAAAGTTTTTGACATTGTACAGCTATACAAAAATATCCTTGTTCCAGAAGTTTTTCTCTACTTTTTTTTTTTTTTTACTTTAAAAAATATTTTAGTTCAAAACTAAGCCACAAACACACACATTAGCATAGGTCTACACAGGATCAGGATAATCAATGACACTGTCTTCCATCACCACATCTTCTCCCATTAGAAGGTCTTTGGGGGCAATAACATGCATGGAGCTGTCATCTGCCATGATAACAGAGCCTTTTTCTGGAAGACCTCCTGAAGGACCTATGTAAAGCTCTTTTTGAGAAGATATCACTCTTTTTGGAAATATGTTCATGGTGGTTTCTTTTTTCCATCATAAGTTTGCTTGTGAGCACATAATTCATCATGAACATTCCCCTCTATTAATGAAAACATTTTGGTATTAGCATCTACGTTTTCAAACTTTTTAAGGAGCTTGTTGAAGCCTGCAAAAGCTTCTGCTAAGCCCTTTACTGTGAGTTTTCTTGGAGAAATTTTTCAGCTCCATTATAATCTTATGTGAAGACCTTTGCATATTGTTTAGTGCATGACTGTATTTGTATTGCATCCTCCCAATCAACCACTTTTATAAAAGAAGCAAGGAGTTAGGTGACTCTGTATGTGATGTTTTCAAACATTTTTGGAAAACTGACAAATATAATGATGTCAGTTCATTCCTCCTAAGGTCACTAGACAAAGTGATGAAAGAAAAGGATGTGCTCAGGGATTTGAATTCCCAGCTTCAGCACAGCATAAATGACCTAAGAGCTTCTGTGTGTGCCCTGAAGGAGTTCCTTTTTCCTGTAGCCACAGGGATGAAACTACTGAAAGTCAAATGCAGAATTTTATCCCACAACTGACTAAATTACAATGCTAGCTGAATTCTCAGCAAGGAGCTCAAGTCCCAGAAGGCCCCTATAGGCGAGGCGCAAAGTGTAACTCACAAAGAAGTGTGCTATACTCCAAAAGAACTGTAGGAATTTTCTAATTTGTACAAGCAAAAATTCAGGGAACATGTGTGGGAATGGATGCTAAGGGTGTAGGATGATGGTGGAAGGAACATAAAATTGGATCAGGTTGAATTTATTGATATAGGTCCACTAAGCAGAGATTCTGCATTTAATGTTGCAGGTTGGTGAGTCAAAAGGGTTCTAATAGCTTGTTTCACTGGTTGGCTGAAACATGGATCAGAAGATGGCCCACTGTGAGCAAATTGGAAATGCCAGATATGCTCAACATAGAGGAAGTGATTCAAAAGCTTAGGGAGAGAGGAACGTTATAATGGATTTATCATTTATAACACACTTATCCACACAGGGAGGGTCCTCCACACATGGGGAGGGTCCGGAGGGCCATACCTTTCACCACCAATGCGAGAAATAAATAAATTAGTGAGAGGAGCCTGTTACCTTTGAAAAGCCCTGTGATTGCTCTTCTCTGTGAGCCGGACCTCACAGTGGGAACCGCAGTCACTGAATTGAGAAACCTAAATGCAATGGGAGTAATTGGATCCCAGTGTGGCAGAGGCCACGTGGCAGCACTCACCTGCCCAAGACAAGGTGTCTGTGATTACCATAATGGACAGCAGTCAAAGCATCAATCAGAATAATCTGACTAGAGCAGACATATGGCACTAGCTAATTTATCATGGTGTTCCTAGAAGTGAAATAGGTAGGAAGCCTACTCAATTCTTGATTGATCTCTATAACCAGAACATTTTTAGGTCAAGTGAACAAAAGTCTCAGATCAAAAAAACAAGAGTCAAAGCCCCTCAATCAATTCCTAGGTTTGAGCCAGATAACTGGCCCCAAACCCGTTGAATGAAGGGGAGGCCATGCCCCTTTGAGAAGAGACCCTGGAACAGTACTGAAATTTTATACTGTTAATTTTTCTCCCAGTTTTCCAAAAGGGACCTATGGCCTTTCATTAGGGTAAGTGTATATTGAGGGGAAGGAAGTAATCAAAACTTTCAACGACTACTGGACATTGGCTCTGAACTGACTCTAATTTCAGGAGACACAAAAGGTCACTGTGGGCCAGCAGTCAGAGAAGAAGCTTATAGAGGGCAGGTGATCAAGGAAGTTTTAGCTCCAGTTTACCTCAAGGTGGGTCTAGTGGGCTCCTGAGCCTGTCCCGTGGTTATTTCCCCATTTCTAGAATGCGTAATTGGAGCAGATATACTCGGCAGTTGACAGAACCCCACACTGGTTTCCTTACCTGTGGAGTGAGGGCTACTGTGGTGGGAAAAGCCCAGTGGAAGCCTTTAGAGCTGCCTCTGCCTATGAAAATAGTAAATCAAAGGCAATATCACATTCCTAGAGGGATGGCAGAGAGCAGTGCCACCACCAAGGACGTGAAAGATGCAAGGATGGTGATTCCCATGCCATCCCCATTCCACTCTCCCATTTAACTCGTGCAGAAGATGGACTGACACTGGAGAATGAGAGTAGACCGCTGTAAGCATAACCAGGTGGTGACTCCAATTGCAGTTGCCACATCAAAGTGGTTTCATTGCTTGAAGAAATTAACACATCCCCTGGGAACTTGTATGCAGCTATTGACATGACAAATGCCTTTTACTCTGTCCTTGTCCATAAGACCCACCAGACGCAGTGTGCTTTCAGCTGGCAAGGCCAGCAGTACACCGTCACTGTCC